CTGAAATTATTTTAAAAGCATAAATGAAACCGGTCTTTTCTGGCCGAGATTTTGGGGATGTCACAGTGTTTATGATGACATCAATAATATTATGGTATGAAGGAATGAATGGACGAAGAAGTTACATGGCTATATCAATTTCACTTATAAGAGAATCAACATTAGACAATGCATAAACTAGATTTTTTAGGGAATGAAAAAACTCGTAATAGAATTGTAACACCTGGTTCTTGGTATGTATTTTAACCTAAGTATTTTTGCATTTTTAGCTGGAACTCGGCGAGTTGCAGGCCTGACTCGCCGAGTAGAGGCGAGATATCGAGCACGTTTGAGTTGGTGACTCGACGAGTCCATATCCTGGACTCGGCGTGTCCGCCTGCCTGGATGAAACCCTAACTTCAAGGCTTTGCACCCTATTTAAACCCCCCTTATGCGCCCCACGCTCGCCCTCTTCACTCTCAGATCACCCTTTATCAAACCCTAACTCTCCCCTTTGTGATTTGAGTGTTTGTGTGATTTTCCTTAAAGTTTGAAGAAGAGAAGGAAGGAAGGACCAAGGAGAAGGAGAAGAGTAAGGATCTAGAACTCAATCCAGAGTCCATTAATGTATATTTCGGATCCTTTCTGTTGCCATGATGATTTTCTTTAGAAAACCCTATTCAAGCCATCTTTACCCATTTCCTAGCTTGATTGTAATATAGAGATCATATTGAGTGGAATAGCCTTTGAATCTAGCTAGGTTTGAGCTTCAAGAGCCCAAATCTACTACCTTTATGGAGCCATATTGCATGAAAGCCCTAGATCTACTCTTTTAGTGTGTTTTGAGCCTTAAATTCGTCATTGGTGTTTATCTACATGTAAAGTTGGAAACTTTACGTGTTAATCGAGCCCTAAGAACCCATATCTACGGATGGAATGCACTGGGTTCAAGCAGAATCGAGTATATAGTGATTGCACGCATGCAACTCGGCGAGTCGGGTCGCGAGTGCTCAAGTTTTCCCCTTTTATGTATTACGCCGAGTGGAACCAGTGAGTTTTAGGGGGACTCAGTGAGTCGGAGATCGGACTCATCCATGGAGGGACTCAGCGAGTCAATGCCCTGACTCGGCGAGTCCAAGGCAATCTTCATATCTCAAGAACAGACTCGACGAGTTGTTCATACAACTCGGCGAGTCCCAGTAGGCGTGTTCAAATGATGAAGGAGAACTCGATGAGTTGTTCATACAACTCGGCGAGTCGGATGCAGATTGACTAAGTGTTTGAATCAAAGAGGAACTCGTCGAGTCTATGCCAAACTCGACGTGTAGTAGCGAGTAGAATTGAGAAATGAGAGTAGGGACTCGACGAGTTGGCGGCCCAACTCGACGAGTCAGGTCAACTGTATGTTGACTTTGACCAAGAGGTCGACTTTGATCAGGGGTAAAATAGTTATTTTACCCTCAATATAGTTATCAGTATTTGATTGAGTGTACTTATGAAAATTGTAGCCGGGGTGAAACCGGAGCAGCAGCAGACAGATTCTAGAGCAGTTCATTCAGTAGCTAGACCACAATGTGAGTTTTCCTTCCAGTAGGAATGGGTCTACGGCCACAATGCCGACCCGTTTAGTTAGCGGTAGTTCCGGACCTCGGTTCGATGCAGTAGTTAGATTGCTTGATGTCTTTGTGATTCAAGTATGTTTTGTGTTATGTGTTCTGGACTTCGGTCTGATGCAGTATGCAGTATATGTGCTTATGCTAGTTGATATGTTTATGCTATGCCATGTTATGCTCAGTCAGTTTCCGGACTTCGGTCCGATGCAGGGGGACAAGGTCCCAGTCACTTCTGGATTTTGATCCGATGCAGCTAGTTCCAGACTTCGGTCCGATGCAGGGGACAAGGTCCCAGTTAGTTCCGAGCTTCGGTCCGATGCAGTTTTCGGGCTTCGATCCGATGCAGTGGACAAGGCCCTAGTTAGTTCCAGACTGTGGTCTGATGCAGCTTCCGAACTGCGGTCCGATGCAGTGGGAAAAGCCTAGTATGTGTTTATATGTTATTGTATGGTATGTGTTAGTTTGGGGGGAGCTCACTAAGCTTCGTGCTTACAGTTTCAGTTTTGGTTTCAGGTACTTCCGCAAGTAAAGGGAAGAGCTCGGGATGATGACATCGCACACACCATGGCTTCAGTTTTTATCTTGGGAGTTGATAAGTTTTTCATTAACATGATTTGATACAGTTTTCTTGTGATACTTTGTTATGGTTTTGATACATTGACGTATGAGTTTTACTCTATGGTATTGATCTAATGATTTTAGTAATGATTAAACAAAAATTTTTGGGTCGTATTTTGGGAAGTTACAAGAATAGGAACATTTTTTTGTGTTATGGAATTGATCTTGAAGTTGTAACATTTGAGACGTGTTATTGTTTAAGAAAAAAGCACCGAGTTTTTCACATAAGTCTTCGTACACATATCACTATAGATGACTTGAAGAAGGTTCATGTCACAAGTGGTGTAAAACCAAGATTTGATATGGGAGGCAGTTACCACGTAATCCTCATCATTATCACCGATAGGTGTGGATTATCAATGATGTCTCTAACACATTTGACACCTTTACACAATATCTACAAAAATACGACTCCCCACTTGTATATGAAGTCATCGATAGAGATCGAAAGACAAGTCCAAATATAAATAAAAAAAAATCGGAAATAAAGGTTAGAAAGCTCACATTACTATAGGGATTGTAGTGAATGGACCACTCAAACATGCTAGTTGGTAAGGTGAATAAGAAGGAACAACAAACGATCCACGAGATGTGAGATGGATGATGATATGACTTCACAGTGAACACAACTACTACACAACAACTGGTAGATAGTAAGAGGTGGTGTTTATCGATGTCAACGACTGAAAGTATCAAAACTAGGATAGAAGATGGCAACTGGAAGAGTTGTAGTGATGGCAGGAGGAAAATATCACCGATAGCCGATAAAAGGCATCATAATTTTCGGGGTTGTGTGGTGATCGACAGAAGCCACACACGACTAAGCTTGATACCATTAGGGGCGAGCATGGTGCGGTTTTAGGGTCAAACCGAACCGCAAACCGCAAGGTGCGGTTTTTGAATTCTAGAAACCGTTGGGTGTGGTTTTTCAATGGTTCGTGTTTGTGGTTTTTGAGTGCGGTTTCGGTTTGTACCGTTTCAGTGTCGGTTTTAAACCGATTCAAATATATGGTGCGGTTTTTTATGTGCACAGGTACACTTTTTTTAACTGCGGTGTTCATGTGAAGATTTATGATTGTATGACATGCTATCATTTCGTTTCCTCACATGTAGAAGCTGTAATTTTGAGGGTTTTTTTTTTTTTTTTTTTTTTTTTTTTTGTTGTTGTTGTTTATTACCTGACAACTTCATTTGCAACCCATATTCTCAAACTCATTTTTTTATTCAATTTATGTTTAAAAGTTACAAGCTTGCAACTTGTAGTCCACATAGTGTTTACATTTTACACATAATCGTTAAGTTACAAACACAAAGTGACAAACTGACATATTAAACCTAATATCTAATTACTAATTACCTTCAAGTTCAATATATAATATATGTATAAATTAGAATTTATTAATTTTTTAAATAATGTGTATAATTGTATAATGTATATTAGTGATTTATTTTATTGTTAATAAGCTTGCGGTGCGGTTCGATTTTGGTGGTCTGATTTTTAGATAAAAACCGCACCACACCAATAAATTCGGTTTTTCAAAAAAATAAAATCCGCACCATCGGTTTTTGTGTCGGTTTCGATTACGGTTTATTACAGTTTTTTTTATTGGTTCGGTTTTTCTCACGAAAAACACCTTAGGGTTTGTATTGCATTATAATCAATATATAAGCACAATATTTACAAAAGGGACACTATACAATTGATTATAAACAAAACTAAATTGTTTCATATTAAAATATTGTTTGTAAGTTCATGAACTTAATAATAGAATTGTTTCATATTTTTAATAATATTTTGCTAACTTACTTTCATAAATGAATATTGATAGCACCTGTAAATAAAGTTTATTTAAAAAACTTTTCCATTGTAGATGTTTATCAAGTATATTTGGTTTATTCATAAAATGGTATTAAAATACTTATTCAAAAAACACATGTGGAGTTCTAAATTTCTAATGGGTGTTATTTGTTGGCACTACAATATAATACAAAGCAGCCAAATCATTGATAAATATATACAAATTGCAATGGCAGCCGGGGCCCACTATCATATACTTTATTGTTTCTTTAAGTAAAATACATTCGAATACTACACCTTCGCAGCCCCTATTATTTATCTTCCCCCACGACGACGCCACAAGGCACCCTATCAATGTCTCTTTCTGTCGATAAAGACGATATCTCCCCTCTATATATACACACACCGTCTCCTTCCTCTTATCTCATCAGTCATCATCATCATCATTGGAGCTCAAAATTCAGTTTTTAATGGAGACACCGGTCGAATTTTCCACACTTGATCTCCTTAGACAACACCTTCTTGATGAATTCGAAATCCCCGCTCCTCCTCCTGTAGATGCGTTATCAAATATCGAACTAGACGACCGTTTCATCTCAGATTTTGACTACCTAAATTGGTCTACAACAAACGCTTCTTGTGATTCTTCCACCTCATGGAGTTCATCATCTTCAGTTTCTAATAATCTCAACTCCAATGAAATCATCAACAACACCCCTGACGATGTCTGTCATTTTAGTGTATTCGATTCCATTAATTTTTCGGGTTTTGAGTTCAAAGCTGATGTAAAGGAAACAACAGTTAATCCGGCTATGAAGATGAAGAAGACGGAGAGGGAGGTTGAAGGACACTACAGAGGCGTACGGAGGCGGCCGTGGGGAAGATATTCCGCCGAGATCCGAGATCCATGTCAACGTGGAAGAAGGATTTGGTTAGGGACGTACGACACCGCCATTGAAGGTGCAAAAGCTTACGATAGAGCTGCGTTTAATATGCGTGGTAGAAAAGCCATTTTGAACTTTCCACTGGAAATTGAGAAGAATCAGAGGGAACAAGATGATGCTGCTGACGCGGTGGTGAATCGGAATAGCCGCCGGAAAAGATCCAGACACTCGGTGGAGGTTAAGACGGAAACGACAATGTCATTTTCTATTCATCAATAATCAAATTGAATTTAAATATATATATATATATATATATATATATATATATATATATATATATATATATATATATATATATATATATATATATATATATATATATATATATATATATAGTAGCCGTTTACCCGCGCAAAGCGGTGGAAGACAAATAGTTTGTTTCGACAATTAATTTCTTTTCCATGGAGAATGATTATTTTCAATTCAATCATTAAATGACCAAATTATAGGGTGTTGAGTATTTATTTGGATGAAAAAAGATCTAATCAAAACCTTAGAAGAGAAGATTTATAGGAGTTTGTTTAAATTTTAATATTATTTTATTAGTGATTAGTTGTACGATTAGCTTAACGATTTAGACGTTTTAAAAAAATATTATTATTTTATTCAATCTATTTTTAGAAATAGTGGAATTTGTTTTATAAGATAGTATATATATATATATATATATATATATATATATATATATATATATATATATATATATATATATATCTTTACTACTTATAAAAGAAATCTAACTATTTCTATAAATAGATTGAATATAATAATATTATTTTTTTAAGACGTACAAACGATTAAGCTAATATTACAAACAACCATTAATAAAATAATATTAAATTTGAAATCGTCTAAATTTTTAAACTTAGTGTACAATCACCTATGCATGAATTTTGACTAAGCTATTTAATCCCCAAGTTAAAATCCTTATTTATCTCAAGGAAGCCGATCTGGCCTTCTTTCAGCCAGTTTAATCGGTCAACAACCATAACCGGCTTTTCAATCTCTTTATACATTATCTCCTTCATTCAATGGAAAAACCCTAGCTGTTGGAATTCACCAGCCACACAACCGCACAACTCCGTCACCTCTATAATCTCCACCCACAGTCACGCATGCTTCACCTTCTCTGCCACCTACCTACTTCTCTAAAATTAACGTTAACCACGCACAGTCTGACCACCAATGTAGGCACTCTGCCTCTTTCCGTCTATCACCGCCACCCAATAATTTTTCGCCTCTACCCTCCTTCGCCTACGTTTCTCTGTTCACCAATATCTACTGTTACCCATCCCCAACGCACCTCTACCACTTCTACACCTTATTAAGACCTATCTCTAAAACCCTACACATATCAACACATTCGTCTTCACTACTTCATTACTACCATCACCTCATTCATATCTCCATCACTCGTTGGAAACCTAAGGATATATGCATCGCCGCTTCAACCTTGAAACCGATGTGGACTACTCAAAGATTCGGCAGATCATTCGAAGCCATGTAGGTTTTCTTTAATAGTTTCCGATTTTAGTTTTCATTTAGAACTGATTCTTAATTAAACCCAAAAAATTGCAGATGGGTTAATCTGAATCTGTGTTTGAAGGTAAGATATTGTTTGTTTTTTCTTGGGGATTGGGTTTGGGGTTTTTACTCCATCATTTGAATATCGGATATTGGTGTGGGATTTGCAGGTCAGATGTTAGTTTTGTAGATTTTGATCTCATTGTAGCTGATCATGAAATGTTGGTTTCAAGTTCTCTCATTTAAGTCCTTCCGGTAGATGAAATTGCATTAGAACTAGAAAATTAACACAAATGTCAGATAGTTGTTACTCTCTTTATGACTATATCATCGTTTTTTTATATTGTATTCTTTGCAATTGATAATAGAGGTTCTTATTATATTTGAAAATTTCATAGTTAGTTTGATGTTCTTAAAGAAATAAGCAACTAGAGAGCTTGTTAATTTGTTTAGTTCAAGGTATTACTTTCTTTCCTTATCGTTTCTCAATTTGGTTGTGTGTGTTTGTATGAGTCTATGTTTATCTTGCAAATCACCAAGAGTCAATTAGTTGTTTATAAAAATTCCTAGATCATTGTTGTTGCGAGACACTACCTTTTTTCTCCTTCCATGGCTATCTTTGCTTGCTAAACCCACCACCTTTGTTATCGTTCTTTGCACTTCCCCTTTCTGTCTCTCTATCAAAAAGCTACCTCATAGCTTCCACATATTAGTTTCCTCTATGCATCCTTCTAAAATTCCGGTGCTGCTGACCATCGTCCTGTATCTATGCGTATGTCTAACTTTGTGTTTATGTGTGTTTACAGGACTTGAAATGGATTGATATAAACCAACATCTCAAAGAAATCGTGGGTAAGCTTCTTAAGATCTGAATATGATCTTCTTGTTGGGTTTTTAGAGCTCTTGTAGTTGAATGTTTAGTTTTTTCTTTAAAGTTGCAATATGTAAGTTTTTGTTATTGTTTGGGGTAAACCCATTTGTAAGTTTTGTTTTTGAAAATTGCAATGCATAAGTTTTTGGTTTCATTTATTGTCAGACAACAAAAAAAATTTAACTGACAAAATTTTGTGAATTTGGATTGATTTGTTTCAAATTTTATCATATACATATTTGACTATTGTATCATTCTTATATTTGAAGGTACCATATGAATAATAGTTTCTTCTTTGTTTTGTATGTATCATGTACAAGAACATGGGAGTGTTTTGTTCTTAATATTTTCTATGTAAATGAAAAAAATAAGCTTTATTTATGCATTATACCATTTGTGAATGAAAGTTTTTTTTTTTTTTTTTTGTTAATTCTCATGTGTCTTTCTTTGACATTCGTAATTGGTTTGGTGGGTTCACGTTATGTGGTTATATTTTGGTTTTCGATTTTGTTTTCGGGTTAAGTATTTTGTTAATTAATTTATTAGGAAACTATGATTTCATTTAAGATTAAAAACTTTCTTCCGTCTTTGAGTTCATTCGCATTTATACATTAAAAACTTCGCATTTTCATTCAAATTCTTCGCATCTTGCATCCATCCGTCTTTGAGTTCATTCGCATTTCATCGCATTAACTGAGAAATTAATCAGTTGTCTCATATTCGCATTTCAGTTGTTTGAGAAACCCAGATACGAACCCAAATGCGAAACCCACTGATTTCAAATGCGAACCAACCAAAAATCATCAACCACGTACTTGTGTCACCAAATGCGAACTGAATATCACCATTAAATTCTCCTCGCATTCTATAGATGCGAACACAATCCAGATCTCCGACTCCAAGCTTGCGAAATCAAAATCAATTAACCTCAAACAAATCGTGAACTTCTTATGCGAACTGTTTTGACCCACAAAACCAAATGCGAACTCAATTGATGTCATATGTGAACTGATTTCATATATGCGAACACAATTGATTTCATATGCGAATCCACATCCATCGATATGAAACCAATACCAGTTACAAGCAATTAGTAGCAACCATCGATCCTCTAATTTTCAATTACTCAGCCTTCGCTTTTCATACAACCCGTCGACCCTGAAAAATCGATAAACACCAAATGTCTCATTTTTAGATCGATTTTCTGATTAAATGTCATATTTGAAGAATGATCGATTTTCTGATTAAATGTCATATGTGTGACATTTAATCAGATTACAAAACATGTTTGTTATTAATGGATGAGATAGATTTAATGTATATCATCAGTTTTTTTTTTAAATGACAATTTAAAAAATCCTAATCAGTTTGGATAGAATTTGAAGTGCTTATCTGATAAGCACTATGATAATTTCGAAGTTAGTGTTATCTTTTTCTAATTAATAATGATATAAACTGTAAAGATAATTTCGAAATTAATATGTTGACTAACATTGATCCTTAAAATTTGGGATATGAATGGTTTTGAGCGGGAAAATATTGACACCTGGGTAACCCTCTACAATAAATACCTATGGATTGTGTGACATTGGTTGCCTTTTAAAAGACATAAAAACAAGGCATGCATTTATACCCCAGAAAATAATAATGTAATAGCAAAGGAAAAACAACACCATAAAAACATGTTACTTATTTGAAACAATCCAAAAAAAAGACAACCATAAAAATTCCAACATCAAATAAATCTACTAAAAAAACTTAGGTGTTAACAACTGCATCTTCATCATCCTGAGATGGCTGGTTTTCAGCTGCAACAGTAATCAAACCACTCCTGACAAAAAAATAAAATTTAAGGCATTCATAAGTTTCTTGATCCTTGAAATATATAAAAAAAAACAGTTTTTCATGATCGTTTGTAAAACAAAGTACAAATGATCTTACCCGACATCAACAGGAAATTCACCATCTTCTTCATCACGAAGCCTATAACATCTGTTTCGGCTTTGAACTTTGACACGGGGTCTCTTCAGTGGTGGTGACAAAGTTTTTGGTTTTGTTGAATCTAATGTGTCAGACTTTTCCACAGCTTCATCATCCAGCTTTTCATCTTCAGAACTTAGAATATCAATAACCTCATCCCAATTCCAATTTAGCAATGCCCATTCCCTTTTCTTTTCTTTCTCATGTTTCTCATGCATACAAAGTTGAAGGATGATTTGATCACATTCCTGCTTATTTACAATGCTACTTGAGTTCGACATTATGGCCGTTTTTCTATGTCAAAAGTAGTATTAGTTACAACGTAACAATTAAATCAAAAGAGAAAACAAAAAATATGTGAACATACCTTCTTCCCAGGTGGAAGAATCAAGTCATTATCGAATTTCAGAGAAGCAAACATAGGTATTTATTGTAGAGGGTTACCCAGGTGTCAATATTTTCCCGCTCAAAACCATTCATATCCCAAATTTTAAGGATCAATGTTAGTCAACATATTAATTTCGAAATTATCTTTACAGTTTATATCATTATTAATTAGAAAAAGATAACACTAACTTCGAAATTATCATAGTGCTTATCAGATAAGCACTTCAAATTCTATCCAAACTGATTAGGATTTTTTAAATTGTCATTTAAAAAAAAAACTGATGATATACATTAAATCTATCTCATCCATTAATAACAAACATGTTTTGTAATCTGTACATATATACGTATTTAAGATTACGAATCTTGCTTCCATACTTTACCATCAAACCATTTGTTCCATTGATTTCATAAAACCATCTGTTCTATATGCTATATCAGAATCAAACAGGTATTGAACTTTTACTTTATTTCATAGTACAAGCAATATGTATTAGAAAAACCATCAAGTATAGCAATTATTAACTGAAGTGTTTTTCAGTTGAAATGGATATTTATCATACTACTGTTAATGAATTTTCTGCTTTGGGGCAAATATATGAATGGTGGAACATTACAAGTGTTAGAGTATTGTATGTTTGGGAGGACATGGAAAACAACAGGATGCTCTTGTGGATGATAGATCGCCAGGTAAGGTTTTTTCCAATTAAAATATTCAACTTCTATTAAAAGTTTAATTTTGTAAATAATACCATTACCATTTTGTTATTTACACCAGAGAGAAAAAATATTAGCAATCATACCTCGCCATTTAGTGCCCGGATATCGAAACATGAATCTGAAAGGAAATGTATTCTCTGTGCAACATTTCCAAGTTGATGAATACCATTTGGACAATCCAATGTACCAACAGTACAAAATCTGCACCAGTGATAAGGCGATAATGATAAACCATGCCACAACTTTTACTCGGTTAGCAAGCGATTTTGCCAGTGGATATCCACTTTATCCAATTGTGTCTACTGTCACAACTGTTGCACAAGATCATACAAATAAAAGAAGGCTTGTTGGTATATTTATATCTTTTCTTTAATCATTTTTATATCATCTACTATAAATTTAACAAGAAAATATGTTTTTTAGATGTGGTTGGAAGAATAGTATGGGGAAATCGAATCAGACAGCTGCGATCATTTGAGTTAATTCTCCAAGATGAGACGTAAGTATATATGTATTCAAAAAACACTTAAAACAACATAGTTTTTTATTAAATTTATTATCATTCATTATAAGAGTTTAAACAGCATTACCTTTTAATAGGGGGAACGTAACAAAGTTATTGTTGTATAACGTACCAGCAAACCTTATGATTAAGGTTATTGTTGCAACATACAACAAATCCATACTCTATGTTTCTTGCATGAAGCTGGTCCACAACAATTTGGGTCAGTTAAAAAATATGATCAGTATATAATTTATATTAATATCAACATATTCCAAATTGTAAATACATATTATTAAATTTTATGCCACATGTTTCATGTTTTTGCAGGTAATTTATTGGTTTCTACTGTTTTAACCGACTTTGATGTTGAACCACAAATGTATGAAGCTGATAGGATTAGAGCTAGATATTGATGAGAGTATTAGAAAAAGATTTTCTTGAAAACTTTTTTAATTCCCGTGTTTTCAATTCAGTTGTGGAACTTTTAACACATATGGTTTTACCACATTATATCTTTTATCAGTTTTAAGTTTTATTATTGGTTTTGTTAATTTGTTAACTTTTCATTCGTGAATGTGGTGTTTTTATTTTCTTTTTGACTTACTATATATATATATATATATATATATATATATATATATATATATATATATATATATATATATATATATATAATTGCTTGTAACTGGTATTGGTTTCATATCGATGGATGTGGATTCGCATATGAAATCAATTGTGTTCGCATATATGAAATCAGTTCGCATATGACATCAATTGAGTTCGCATTTGGTTTTGTGGGTCAAAACAGTTCGCATAAGAAGTTCACGATTTGTTTGAGGTTAATTGATTTTGATTTCGCAAGCTTGGAGTCGGAGATCTGGATTGTGTTCGCATCTATGGAATGCGAGGAGAATTTAATGGTGATATTCAGTTCGCATTTGGTGACACAAGTACGTGGTTGATGATTTTTGGTTGGTTCGCATTTGAAATCAGTGGGTTTCGCATTTGGGTTCGTATCTGGGTTTCTCAAACAACTGAAATGCGAATATGAGACAACTGATTAATTTCTCAGTTAATGCGATGAAATGCGAATGAACTCAAAGACGGATGGATGCAAGATGCGAAGAATTTGAATGAAAATGCGAAGTTTTTAATGTATAAATGCGAATTGGGGAAGAAAGTTAGAGTTTCGCATTTGGCACCTGATCTTTTCAAGAAATAATATAAGTGGTCCAACTTCGCAAAATGGGGTCATAAAAAGACAAGTGCAGAATTTTCATTTCGCATCCCTGTAGTTGGACCACTTATATTATTTCTTGAAAAGATCAGGGGCCAAATGCGAAACTCTTAGCTTTCTTCCCCAATTCGCATTTATACATTAAAAACTTCGCATTTTCATTCAAGTTCTTCGCATCTTGCATCCATCCGTCTTTGAGTTCATTCGCATTTCATCGCATTAACTGAGAAATTAATCAGTTGTCTCATATTCGCATTTCAGTTGTTTGAGAAACCCAGATACGAACCCAAATGCGAAACCCAACTGATTTCAAATGCGAACCAACCAAAAATCATC